CACACTTCTGGAGATCGAGCAACTGCCCCCTTCTCTCTATGAAAACAACAAATCCGAAACACGAACAACTGTTCCTCTCTCTTCCTTCACGCAGTCACTTCCTCAAAAGGAAAATACTCCAAGAAACAAAAAATCTCTCCATCCATCCTTCACTGCAACAAAATTTTAAAACTAAAGCTCTCTAAGCCCCGGTTGGGTGGAACCAGTTTAAAACTAGTTTTTATGTTCAATTTTATTATTGATAAAACTATCTCTTTAAAATATTCTTAACTAATCAATCATGAACCATAACTAACACTTACAATTATGTGTAAGGCTGAAATATTCATAGTTTCAGCAACAACAAAAAAATAAAAATAATTTAGAAGACAGTCGTTCTCCTTCAGAACAATTACTGATATCTAACTCGCAAAGTCCAGTTTGCACTAAACTTATTGAAACTAGGAGATATTAGAGTAAGATTAAGATCATTATAAGACACAGAAATTGCACGAATATATCGGACCTAAAATAAGATAGCGGGACGAACAGACGGTGTACCTTATCTGAAATTAATCTATGAGTGAGCCACCCAGGACCTAAACTCACAAAGCCTCGAAAAAGCTGTTTTTTAAATAATCCCTTTTTTAAACATTTAAATATAGAAATAAAAATCAATTTGGCGTCTAGTAACAAATTTATACGATCGAATACCTCGATAAAATCAATTTAGAATGACCGAAACTGGCAATTGTAAAAGAACTACATCTACAAAAACTGGTCGAAATTGAAACATTTTTTTTAAATATGAGCATGAGCATTTATATCTTTTAGATTACTTAAAGCCGAAATTGACCACAACAATATAAACACACCGAGCACAAGCACTCAGTTTTTTTTCTAAAAGTCGGAACAGCAAAAAATAATTACGAAAAGTAAGACTTCTTTAGGACCACTGAAGATAAATGCTCTTGAAATAAAACAGAAATAAATTTTTTCCAAAAGTCGAAACAACAAGAATAGCTGAGAAAAAGTAAGCCTTTTAAGGAACTTTTTATGAAGCTCTGAAATAAAAACAAAAATAATTATTGTTTACAAAGCTCCTTTTTGTAACTAATATCAATAAAATGTAGTTGCGCTAAATAAGTGCAAATGCACATCATTGCGACTATGGGAAGAAGCTTTGTATTCGGGTTTGATTTAGGTTTTTTCAATTTTTTGTGCAGAATCAGGTACCACAAATCATCATTGGAATATTTCAAGTGATATATCATATTACAGTCCTTTCACTCGCAATGCAATTCGAATTACTTTAAAACTTTAAGAATTTACAAAAAATTATCCAAGTGTCAAGAAAAACAGGTGTTGAATTTTTGATTTTCAGTCTAAATTCAAGTGAGTGAAGCGACCGAGCAGGCTTTCAAACTGTTTTTGGAGTTTCTCAGCGCCATTATGCGAATCAAAATGTCTGACTTTTTCAAAAAAAAACAATTTGCAGAAAAAAGAAAGTGATACTTTTTTGATTTTTTAAATAATCATTTCCTAGTCAACTTTTTCTACAAAAAACAACTGTTGTCTATTTTGCCAACCTTTCTAGGATGTCAAATGAGTTAGATTATAGTTTTTCTTTCAAACATTTTTACCACACTACGCAGAAAAAAACGACACTTTGCCTGATACTTGAGCATTAACCAAACATTTATGTTTTCTAGGATGTCAAATGAGTTCGGTTATAGTTTTTCTTTTAAACATTTTTACCACACAACGCAGAAAAAACAAACGACACTTCGCCTGATACTTGAGCATTAACCAAACATTTATGTTTTCTTCAAATGTTTTTTTTTGTTTTTCAAAAAAAAACAATTTGCAGAAAAAAGAAAGTGATACTTTTTTTGATTTTTTGAATATTTATTTTCTAGTCAACTTTTTCTACAAAAAACAACTGTTGTCTATTCTGCCAACCTTTCTAGGATGTCAAATGAGTTAAGTTATATTTTTTCTTTTAAACAATTTTACCACACCACGCAGAAAAAAAACGACACATTGCCTGAAACTTGAGCATTAACCAAACAATTATGTTTTCTTTCTTAATGTCGAGTCGTTAGGAAATTTCATGGTTTTTTTTGGAGGGTTCTGATGGTAGGAATGAAATCAAACTTAGGTTTACGAAAGGGTTGACTAACTTTCAAAAAGGAAAAAACTTTGAATATTTTTTGTACTTGCTTGAAATTTCCCAACACTGAGTGTTCTCCTTTAATATACAATTTCTGCATATATAGTAAAAGTGGTTGTGAATTTATGCAAATTACTTATTTCTTAAGTCTGATTCCTTCAATAGTCACACAAAATGTTTTGACTAAAAACGAATTCGGGCTCAGGCCTTAGCTTTCAAAAAGAAAAGTTCTGGTAAACTTCATGGAAGACATTCAAAAAATTTTGAAATTTGAATCGCAATGTCCCAATGCAACTTGCATTAATCTCAAACAAGCGCTCGAAATTGTTTCAAACTAAACATTCACAAAACCTAAAACTGAGGACTACAAGTTCCCATTCAAGCATTGTTGATATTAAATTTGATAAATAGATCTCGAATAGTCAAAAAAGCTTCAAAAAGTCAAACCGAAAAATTCATCACTGTGATGTTACACAGGGATAAGTTTTCGAACCACTAATAATCATTTTAATCATAAATGATTCAATGATCCACTGACAGTTACAAACTCAGTGAACACTTATTTATACGCTGATGATACCGCAGTGAAGCAAAAAGGACAAATTTACACCAAGTAATCATAGGAATAGACAACACAACAACTGATGATGTTGTAAAAGCCTTTAGACAAAAATATTTGAGCATTCAAATGGACGCAAATTTAGATTTCAAATGGATGTTTTTTGAAATTCTCTACCAATTTCGTGCCGCACTAGCAACAGCACAACCAATTAAAACCGCTTTCATTTCAATTCAGCAAATACTGCAATATGGGGATTTAGTGTACGACACAGCTAGTAATACGTCACTAAAAAAACTTGAAACGAAACAAAACTTTAGAAACAAAACTATATTTCTTAAAAAATTTAGGCACCAGTCTAAATTTCTCGAAAAAAATAAAGGCTTCAGTCAGAAAATTTTTAAAAAACTAGAAGGTTTGCTGAATGAAAGAAGTGCACTTATATGAGCAACTCAAAACGCTAATAACTCGTTTAAGTAAGATTTGGAAACTGAAGTCTTAAAAAAATTTAATTTTGCTTTCAAAAATTGAGAAATCGCAAAATTAGAAGAACCAAAAAGTCCTGTTTTTGCAGATTTTGCGATTAGGCGTTAAAGTCAATGGTTTCAATGATTGTCAATTAAAAGTTTTATAAATCTTAGATATGACAAACGCTTAGTTCTATTTTTCCTAAAAGTGTGTTGTAGTTTTTGAACAACTAAAGCTTCATTATAATTGAAACTTCTTAGTACCTAGGGATATGAAATAGTACTGCTTAATTAATGCATCACTTGACTAGGTCTATCAGGTCTTTTGATATCCTTGCTATCTATGGTCAATGTTATCAATGGTCAATGACAAGTTTCTATTGAGTAATCTTTAATATGAAAACAATTTATATTTACTATGATTATTATTACTTGAATAAAGCACACGGTTACGACTGAAAAAAACTTTCTTGAGAAGATCTAAAAACTAAGTGGTAAAAACAAGTTATTTTAGCAATTTTTTTTATGCATCACAACTTTGGATTCAAAATGATAAAAGCCTGCAAAAAAGTCAAACAAATTTTTATATAATCAAAAAGATAACTTACGGTTTTTTGAAATCAAATCCCGTTTCAAATCTGCGACATATGAAAGGAAATTTTCCGCAGACCACAATTTTGCGCACTTTGGCCCACCCCAAAAAACATACGTCGATGTTACGCGAAAAGGTAGGTGAAAAGTTTTAATGAGTATTTTTTTACGCGGAAAGACTTCATAAATTTTTCAAAACTGTTGAAACTTAAGAAAAGCATCAAGCAAGACTCTCAGAGTGATTTTACTTAAGACATCACTCCGATGGAGATTTTATTGAGCATATTTAACTAAACATCAAAAAAATATTCGCTAGATTAAGCGCCATTGTTAGTGGCGACTTAGCGTAGTTTTATGTTGGAACTAGCCAAGTCGTGTTTTTGAGCAAATTTAGTGACATCTTTTGTTTCACAGTATTTTGTACTCGTTTTGTAAATTTGAATATTTGGCAACCGATATTCTATCACTTTCTATCAACCTATATTCTGTAACTGAGTACCAGGAGCAGCATGAATTTTGAATTTTGAATTTTGAATTTTACTTTCAAAGCTGCACAAACCGGCGTGCTTTTTTCTATGCTGCAAATCGGTACTGCAAAAAAAGCGTCACATTGATATAATTACAAAGATAATTAGAGTACTGCAAGGAAAAAATTCCCGGAAACGTGCCTCCAGGTAGAAAAATTACAGTTTGAATTTTTTAAGACTAATTAATAACACAGGGGACAAACTGAGAAGCTATTGATGAAAATAAGTTTGTTTTCCGCAATATGTAACGTAAAAACAACAAATAGATAAACAGTTTTCGGTATTTCAGCAATTAAAACTTAGTTTGGAAGGATAATTTTACGCCCCTCCCCTCCAAAAAAATAACGAAAGACAATTTTGTTCCTTTTTTTTAATTATATATTTTTTTCGCAAACACTTCAATTATCTGGCTGGATTTTAGGTTTTGCTGTTCCAATTATTTTGTCGTGAGGTGACTGTAATGTACAAAGTAATACATCATAATGTATGAATAGGGGGCTTGACTTTAGCATAACCCAAAGACGTTTATTTTTCAAATATTGCAATGATTTCAGATGTCGGAACAATCTGTGCTATTTGATCAGTGATTAGCTGTTCTTGTTTTTCTCTCTCTCTGTTTTATCTGATAAATCTTTAGAATAGAGTTCTGTGTTTAACTTTTTTCCATAGAAAAACTTGCGAAAAGGGTCAGCTAATAGATTTACCTGATTTGGGTCCCTTCTTTGATAGTACATCATCACCCGAAGAAAAACCGGCTGAAACAAAGACAACGAAACAAAATGTTTGTATGATGTTGCTGTCTCAATAGCATACGCTGATCATACATCATTTTCGAAAAAGCCAATTAATTTTGTGCTGACCTAACACTTTTCTTTCATTTGTTTTTTCCTAGTTCTCAGTTGCATTACTTTTTTCTCGCGGTATATATCTGCGAGACAATAAATATTTTCATATTGAAATCACAAAAAAGCAAAAAACACTGATGATAAAATGTTACTTTGTTACAGCCAACTCTACTTTATACAATTAAAAGAATAAAAGAACAAAAGTGAATTAGTCTAAAGTTAAAACATTAAAAAAGTGAAGAGAGCATTCTCTCCGCCGGAGAGAATGAAATAGTGAAGGTCATAAAAGAGTGACCTGTTAGAAACGTTATGTAAGAATTGCTAACAATACTAAATAAGTTGAAATCACATCATTCCTCCAAGCAGGAAAAAATTTGAATTGTAAAATTAACTGATTATCCAATTAACTGCATCCTTTCTCCCCCTTTGGTGAACAAAATTAAATTTAAAGCACCGATAGTGTACTTGAATTAAGCTAAAAATTAGGTGATTAAATTTGACTAAAACGGTTAACGGTATTAGAAATTAACTGCTGTAAAACAGAAGATGTCCGATATCCAACGACTGTAGAATGAGTTAAATCATTCTTTAGACTTTAGAAAATTAGTGACTCAAGGTAATGTATGAAGTTGAGCTATGGTAAGGGGTTACAATTAAATTGACGATTAGTCAACGATAATGAGTATCCATTAACTGGTCCGAGGGAACGCTATGAATGCCAAAGTGGTTAACAATCCAATGAGTATCGGGGACAAAAGAGATAAAAAGTAAATTTGACGAGAAAAAAAAATTGCACCGAAAGGCAAAAATGTTCACGGCAAGCTATGATTAACAGTTTCTATAACAGTTTATGACGTTTTCTAAGTCGTCATTAAAGAGTTCGCTGTCGAGCTTCGTGTAATCATCAAAATTGTCCACCGCAATTCTTAGATATTCGTCTGTCGATGACGATGAATTTTGATCGGGCAAAAAAGAATCCGATTCAACAGTCACTATCTCCAAGGGAGCCTATTTGTGGGTAGTGTCTAGTTTTTTGCTTCCATTGTTGCCCAGTATGATCGAATTCGATGCCAAACCAGAGGTCATTTGGGGTAAATCTACAACAGCTATGAAGTATCTCTTACCATAGAATTTTGGCGGACCTACATTTCTAATAGACCGGCGAATAATAGGTGGACCGTTACTAAGTTTAGGTGGGGACTTTGAAGTAGGTACGGACTCGTCTGATGAATCCACTATCTCGTAGGCTGGAAAGTTTATGATAGAATTCTCCTCCAGTTGTGTAGCCGAGTTGTTTTTGGTGTCATTTACTTGTGTAGTCGTGGAAGACTCCGCCGGAGTGATTGAGATGGGGCACTGTGTTGTAGTATTTCGCTCTGCTGGGATGATGCTGATTGGGCAATGTATTAATGGTTCGTCGTCAGGGTTAATGGTATCTTCTAAAATCTTAACCTTAATGTTATTATTTGTTTTGCAAGGGTTAAAAGTGTTGTCGTTTTGTTTTAAGTTGTTAAATGAGTCAGAAATTATTCGCTCCCTTGCTACATCTCTACACGGAAAACCTCCTGCTATCCATTCCCAATCACTAATATCGGAGATATCAGAAGTAATAATCATAGACTCTTCCGAAGCGCGGTAACCTGGTAAAAATGTCGTCTTCTTGGATCGAGGAGGTTGCCTTCGTGAAGACTTTGAGGAGGACCCCGACACTCGTGTCCTTGTGTTGTTATCTGAGGATCCCAATTCTGTTTGATTTCTGGTCGTGGGTTGTTGTTTTCGGGTTTTTTTTGTCTCCTGTGTTTCTCGCTTTTCTGACCTACTTTAACATTATGATTAGGAAAATAAGGAAATGAAAGGTTGCCTTTAAAAGATCTGATTTTGAGGAGTTTGATTTAGAAATGACAATTTCTGATTTTCTGATTATTTTTCCGTCGGATAGTTCTACAGTCGAACTGGAGCTGTTATGATCTTTTTGTTTGGTTCCTTATAAAACGAGTTTCCATTGATGGTCCGATTCGTTTTCCGCAGGATTTTACCTTTGAACGGACTTTGAAGCGGTAATCTAGAGGTGGAGAGTTTTGAAGTGGATGGGTAGTCTGTATCGTATCCCTTCTCTGCAGGTGCCAAGTTTTTCTAAGAGATCAGTGTATCTTTGTATCCATCTTCCATTCTGTCGTCCGCATTCCAGTCTTTTGCTCCTTCTCTAGAGAGTCTAGATTTTCCTTTGTCTAAAAATCCATTGGATGGTTTAGCAAACGCCAGTTGTTTCCAAATAGTGTTTGGTTTTCTATTAAAATGTATTTCAAAGGGGGAACATTTGATTTTTGATTGGTAAGAAGATCGAAATTTCCAGATAATTTTCGAGAGAGCGTCTTGTAATGTACATTTTTGGGTCTCTTGATTTTTACAGTATGTACAAGTTTCTCAACTAATCCGTTGGAAAGATGATCTCCTACTGTTCCAAATCTTACTTTGATTTTGTTTGTGTCACAAAATAATTTACAATTTTGACTTGTAAAGCAAGATGCGTGATCTAACCTAATGGAGAAAGGTATGCCGTGAAGGAATATGTAATCTTGAATAAAATTGATAACAGTTTTTGACGAAGTAGATGAAGTAATTTTGCCGAAGGAAATTTTGAAAATCGATGAATGCAGAGTAGAATGTTTTTATTTAATCCCCAGTGTGAATCTGAAGGGCCCGCGAAAGCTAGATTGAGTTCATCTTTTGGTTCCAGTTAGGGGGGAAGATCGGTAATATGAGAATTAGGAATTAAAATTTTCAAATTCTTACCCTCTTTGTACATTCTGCGCAATTTATGCTATGGAAGTAGAATTGTCTGTTAATACCAGCCACCAGATGTATTGGGCCAATTTCTTCATTCCCATTTGACCGGGATGTGTTTCATGGAGAGATTTCATCATTGCGTTTGTCAGGGTAAAAGGTAAAACTAATTTACCGTCCATGTAAAGCAATCCGTCGGATTCGTGTAAATCTCTCGTGAAAAGTTTGAAGAATGGTGAATTCGCATTAATCGTCTCCACTTTATTTTGAAGTGCTTTTACAATAGGGCTCAACATAGGGTCATCTTTGGCAAGGAGAGCTACTAGCTTGGCGTTAAATAAGGTATTTCAATCCAAGGGACGTTGAGGCAACTTCAAGTTTTCTCGGTATTTATTTACAATGTTCACATGGTCGGATAAAAGTGGGAAATCCAAGAATATTTGAATACCGGATGTGGCGGGATTAATTACAATTTTTTTATCGTCCATATTAACAGTATTTACAGTTTTTCTATGTAAAGTGGAACTAGTTATGCTATAATTAAGAATTAAGAAATATACAAATGCAGAATTAGAAATAGAAATGACTAAAGAATGTGTTTGAATAATAAGAGGGAATACATTTCGAAATACAAAATTCAGTACGATTGTGATTTGATGAGCAAATTGGAAAAGTTGAGTTAATTAGAATTAATATTGAAGCTATAAGGTAATTACATAATTTTGCGTAATCGGAATTTTTTAAATTTGATTCAATAGCAGAGCATGTCTTTTTTTGTTTCTCCGAAGGATTAATTGATTTCTTAATTTTGTCTATATTCGCGACTACGAATTCTTCATCATGTTGTGATGAGAATAAGGCTTTTCCAGATGAAATTCTCGAAATTAAGTCGGTGAAACCCATATTTTTTCCTGCGAGATGTTTGATTGTAAAATTAAATGGTAATAATCGATCAAACCATCTTGTTAATCTGCTATGGCAAGTTTTTTTTCCGTACATTGTTGACAGGGAAGAAAGTAGAGCTTTATGATCTGTAATTGATTCGAAGTCTGATCCATAAAGGTAGTTTTTATAATGTTCAACAGCCCAGACAACTCCCAAAAGTTCTAATTAATTTGTAGATTATTTCGACTCGTGAGGGTTTAAAAACGTGAAGCTAATGAGATCGTTTTCCAATCGTTCCCGTGGAGTTGTTCTAGGGAGGCTTCTAACCCATTATGTGAAACGTCAGTTTTTATTCTGGTTTTATGTTGTATGTCGAAGTGAGTATTTTTTGTAAGATTGATAATCTCTTGTTTGATTTTCTTGAAAGCTTTTGTATAGTCAATACTCCAATGGAAAATAGATCTCCTATTTAGCAGAGGTCGGAAAGGACTTCCTAAGGATGCTAAATTTAGTAAAAATTTAAGGTATTGGTGTATAGATCCGAAAATGATCTTAACTCTATCAGATTTTTTGGAATAGGTAAATCCTTTATTGCCTCCGTTTTGTCGAATAAAGAAGAAGTTCCTGTTTTTGAGATTTTAAATCCCAACCATTCGATTTCTTTTTGACAGAATTTGCATTTTGACTATTTGACGGCGTCGTTGTTTTCGTCTAACGTTGAAAAGATTTTGAACACAATATTTTTGTGGTCTAAAAAACTTACTTTGGATGCAATTAAAACGTCATCTAAATAACAATTTGTAAAAGGGATCGTACCTAGCGTTGAGTCCTTAACTCTTTGGAGTTCGTTAGGCATATCACCTAAGCCGTAAAAGCCAGTTAAAAATTGGTAGGTACCAAAAATATGGCCGCCCACTATACTAAAATTACATTGGTTGCTAGTAAATTTGTCTAAGGCGAGTTGACTATATGCTTTTTCAAATCCAAATTTGTAAACCAAACTTCTCCAACGGAACCATTTGATATTTGTGCCGCTACATTGTCTACAAGTTCCTGGATATTTGGCATCTGATATTTATTCTTGTATATCTATTTGTTAATAAATTTAGAGTCTAAAGCCAACTTGATCGATTTGTCTTTTTTGCAAGTAACATCAATTGGGCTGATAAAGACATCTTCATCACAATTTTCTAACTTCTTGATGTGTCCTTCGTTTTGTAACCGGTTAAGTAAAGTAGTAAC